AACAGGAGCCAGAGCCTGTTGTAGAGCCGACTAGCTTTATCTCCATCTTCCTCGTAGCTAAGCTTTGCAAAGATTGCCCCCTAGACTCGTTATAAGCAAGGAAGTAGGCCGGTAGGGGCAGACTGAGGTTCCCTGAGCAGTGTTCAACTTGCCCTCATTGACCAGCCTGCCCTGGATTTGTTGGGCAGGGGATAAGTGTTTTGTTCCCTGTCCCTAAAAGACAAAACCTTTATTGGTTGATTTCTGAATCTCAGAAATCTGGAGCACAGAGGCCAATCGGGCCATTTTGTTTTCTGTCAGGTTTTACTTTCTTTCCACTAGTTGGACACCCTAGCCTGGAATAGATCATGCATTGGCAGCAGAAAGCAAACACGTCTTGCCAAAGTTGTCTGCACAGCAAGGAGTAATGAGAAAATTATCTAGAAGCCTCATACAAAGAGGTCTTACCACTTGCTACATGATGGCTGAAAAGAAAATCACCTTATGTCTCATTGAGACCATGGTGCTCTTTCACTGGTGAATTATTTGACAAATACTAATTAAGGCAAAGTACATTTTTGTTTACAGTGAAACCAAATAAATGTGTATGCCTTACGTACTTTACAGACAATGCATTCTTCATTTTCTTTCAAAGTGCTGATTCTTTTTATCCTCTTGACACAGCTGGCTTGCCTGAAAGAAAAGCCTGTAAACAATTCCTACTTTTCAGCATCCACATTTTTATTTTTATTTTGCACTGGAGGGAAATGTGTGCATTGGGTTTGCATAGGAAGCAGTGGCTTTTTTTTCCTTTCTAGAATTTTTTTTTTTAAAAAAACAATGTTGTGAGGACAACTGCACAAACATTTACATATGGAAGTGGCAAAGTGTCATTTGAAAAACAAACAAAAATGACATTTTACACTGATTATAAATGCTTCTTAAAAATGTGAACCATAACTTATATATTACATGAAAAACTAAAAGTACAAAACACAAAATGAAATCCATGGGCTGTTATTTTATGCATCCCTTTAGAGCTGAATGCACCACTCACTTTTGCCTCTGACCATGCCCATCCCTGGTATGTGGCCCTCAGAAAGTCACCCAGAAGGAAATGTGGCCCTCAGAATAAGAAAGTTCCCCATCTCTCCTTTAGAGATTTTCATTTAAAGCAAGGGGCACTGTCAAGATTAACATGGTCATGTCCCAATCCCTCCCCTAGCATAGTATCTGGCCTGTTGGACTGATAACCATGGCAGTTAGAGGTTCTAGTTAAATATTAAGACTTAACTTCCTATTTTTTTAAAAAAAATGGGCTATGCCATCTTATCAGGGGCCTTGCATATTAACCATCTACTTTCAACACCATTTGAAAGAATGTTTCAACCCCAGTCTCTTTCATCTGTATAGAAGCAGCTTCCATCAATGCAGACACCCCCATGGCCAGTAATACATAGAGGTTTGAACAAGTGATTCACAAGGGGAGAGTGATAAGATACAGGCATGTGCCCATCATCCTGCAGTCTTCCAGTAATTCCTTTGTTCCTTCCTTCCTTCTCTCTCTCATTCACTCACTTTCTAATTATCAAGCCCCCGAAGTAGCATTCAGTGAAACTACATCAAACAATATTATGATGGTAATAAAAATGATATAAAAATTGAGCAGGAGTAGCTTGAAACATAAAAAAGAGCCATATAGCATACTTTACTGTTTAGAGATGCGTTATTCCAAACCAACGATCTTCCTAAACAAGGGATTCTTCCTCAGCATCCATCCAGGAAACAAAATGAGAAGTGGGAGGTGAGCCTCCAAGCAGAAAGAGCTCCAAAATCTGTGTGGAACAACTGATAAATCTATTCACAGTTCTTGATAGTGATGGCCCATTTACGGAATTCTCTCCCAGGTAATATTTGGCTGGGACCCACATTAGATGGCTTTCATTGTCACCTTTTTGTATGAAACGTTGGACCCTAGAAGGAGTGCTGCTGAGTGTTATGGTGCTTTATATCTTTTTTTTTTGTTACAAAACTACAGAGAAAAGATTTCATCATGATATAGAGCATCATACATAATCAAGAGTATAAAAGTTGGGGAGTAAAGACTACGTTAATATTTGTTCTTAGATATCAACCCAAAATACTTAGCCGTAGTTGACCATGAATGACTGGAGGACTGCAGGCACTTGCAATAAAGGTGTACTATGTATCTCGAAACTTGACTGACACAGTTCTTTTTCTTCACACTTTTAAGTTTGTGCATTAACTTATCTGTCAGTGCAAGTTTCCAAACCTGCTATAAATATTTGTTGCTGCTGTGTTATGGTGACTGGCCATAATTGTGTGATTTTAAGTCTTAAAATTGTACTAGCTGTTTAATGTAATTTTATATTGCAAACCACCTTATATTGCAAACCACCCTTAGAAGAAGGGCAGGATATAGAGATAGAGATAGAGATAGAGATAGAGATAGAGATAGAGATAGAGATAGAGATAGAGATAGAGATAGAGAGATAGATATAGATATAGATATAGATATAGATATATTAGATAGATGATAGATAGATAGATGTATCGTGTATATGTATAAATAAATGAATATAAATAAATGATATGCTGTTGTCATTGCTAATGGTCAACCCCACCCCTTGTAAATGGTGAACTCTGACACAGGAACATGAGGTCATTTACCTCATTATTTGGGATGCACACAGCACCAATGCACACCCCTAATACTTGGGGTTTGAATCATCCTTGGACTGGGCAGATATATGAGAGACAGCTGCAGGACAGCTGCCTTCCTTCCTTGCCCTAGGGAACTGAGTGCTTCATCCATGGCCCTCCAAGTGCTGTTGGCCTGCAGTTCCCATCAGCCCCAGTCAGCATGGCCAATGGTCAGTGATTATGAGAGTTATGGTCCAGGTTAGCAGCCACCCCTGCCCAGGGTGGAGAGCTTCCTCCTTGCTTGCAGGAGCTGCAGTTTAGAGGACTGGTAGCTCTGCTCTTCTTAATGAAATTGTGGGCTTGGTTAAATTTAAACAGGCACCATGTCCCCCCCCCCCCCGACTCAGGGACATCTACATCAGAAAGCGCTATAAGTAACTGGCAACAGTGCAAAAGGGAGGGCTCTTGGAAGCAGCACTTGAGCTGAAGTCTGCCAAATGCAATAATGGAAGGCTGCCTTTTCTTTACCCACGTTACTGTCCATTAAATGCCTTCTGGCACTTCATGTCAGTCTAGCATACTTAATTTGTTACACTGGCCAAGCATTAGTAAAGTCAGTGTTTTCTTTCTCAATTTGCCAGACGCCACTTAAGTCACTTCAGCATTAAATCATTTCTTACAAGTTTATCTCGGAATATGGCTCTTTCAACAGCCAGTGGGCAATCAAGTGCCATTCACTGAAACATCTGGATAAAGGGGCACGCACAAGCTTGTTATTTATTACAGAAACTTAGAGAAGTTTTATGAGTCTTCGTGGGAGAAGAGAATATCCAGTATATCATTAGACTTGAGGAAAAAGTTGTGCTCTGCACTGAATAAAATAAATCTGAAATTAAAATAAGCCAGGAACTGCAGCCAGCACTGTGGCTCCATCCATTTATCAACGGTATGACTTTTCATTATTACAAGCCCCCTCTTTGCATGTTGACATTTTCTGTGGAGATTTGGAACAAATCCATCTAAGACAAGTAAAGTTCCGTAGGGAGGGATACATCTCATTTCCCATTGGTCATGTCACACCCATCATGGTGAGTTACATCGTGCCTCATCTTATTGTGATTAATGAGTATTCACCTGAGGTGAGGCATATCCTCCTGAAAAATAGTCTGAGGGAGGTGGTGAACCCTCACCCTGCTTGTGGTCTCCCTGTAAGGGAGTGTGTGTGTGTCAGGAGTGAGCCAGCAGTAAATCACACAGGGGAAGTTGGAGTGAACTCGCATTAGCAAAACCATGATCGAGACAGGAGTATTTTGAGGATAAAGTCACTCAACTTCAGAGTGACTTTGACTCCACACTTGTTGCAACTCCAGTTGCTATTGAGGATGTTTTCTGGGATCAGTTCCACCTTACGCGATTATATAAGTGATTATATGGGCAAACTCCGGCCCTCCAGATGTTCCAGCAGGAACAATGGCCAGGGATGATGGGAATTGTAGTCCCAAACATCTGGAGGGCTGGAGTTCGCCTATACCTGATATAAGCTGATGCTGATAAGGAGCTGGAAGCAATGTGCCCGACCACATTACCCCCTCAAGCCCTGTCCTTCCTGGCCAATTAAATTCAGCAGAGAGGGCTGACTGTTTGGGTCCAAGGTGTGCTTGAACTTCATTGTGTGAAGGGGTGGTCCCTGCTGCTTTGAAAATGTCAGTGGTACAACCACTTCTAAAGAAGCTTGCTCTTGAGCCTTTGGATTGGAGCAACCATTGGCCACTTTCAAATACCCTATGTTTGGGGCAGGTGGTGGGGCAGCTGCAAGCATTCTTGGAGGACACAGATTATTTAGATCCATTCCAATCTGGGTTTGCACCTGGCCACAGAACCAGCTGCCACTGGCTAAGAGGTGGCAATTCTAATGGTCTGGAAGAGAAGCAATAGGTTGGATTAGTAGAAACCGCTTAAGGCTGCAATACAACAACAACAACAAAAAACATTTTATTTCTTATACTCCTGCCCATCTGACTGGGTTGCCCCAGCCACTCTTGGCAACTTCCAACAAAAATACAGAAGGAAAGGAAGAAAAAGAAACATTAAAAAATGTTTACAAACGTGGCCTGTGATCCTATGCTAATGCAAATGTAACCATTTCAATAATGTAAACCCTTCATAGAATAGGGTCGTAAGTGTTGTGGGATCCAAATCCTGAGGCAGTCTAATTTTTCCATCTTTGTAGAATACTAAATGTGTTGCCTGGGCAAAACATTATGGCTGGTGGAGTAATTCATCGGATCATAGAATTGTAGAGTTGGAAGGGACCACAGCAGTCATCTAGTCCAACCCCCTGCAATGCAGGAATCTTTTGCTTAACGTGGGGCTCGAACACACTACCCTAAGATCAAGAGTCTCATGCTCTACCACCTGAGCTATGTATAGTTATATGGCGTGTGTAATGGGTGTGTCAGACCTTTTGCATGAAATGTGTTTTGGCCTTGCTTAGTATAGTGCTAAGTGGATACATGCCAATTATTGAATGCAAAGATCCAAAGGCATCTAACACTGTCCACTTGGTAACAGCTGTGGTTAAAAACAGACTTCAGCACTGAAAACAAAGTATCTACAACTTAGATTCACAACATTAGTGTACATTCTAGAAACGGCTAATTTATTTGATACATGCAAGCGGAATACCCTCCAAAAGAACAGCCAGGATAATTATCCGAAGGTGCTGTTTGCATGCATCCATTGCAAAGCTCTGGAGGCAGAAGGAATTTAAGTAGCTAGAGGCATTCTGCTTGCTTAACTGACCAGCTCCCTTTGGATAAAATGGCTGAAGTAGGCAGTTAACAAGTCTGCCAATTCTGAAAAAAACAACCCCAAACCCCCCAAAGCAGACATTTATTATTACTTTCTCGTGTAGCTTTGGGCAACACTGGGAAAAATCCCAGATATATAGCTTGAGTTGTGCTTTACTCTTCTTTTTAAGAAGAAAACACTTTGAAGATAACTGTGTAGGAACTGTTAGTCGAAAACTTGAGAATTCACAGCTATTGGCCAGAGGGCATATTGTAAGCCTAGAAAGACCCGTGGAGTCTTCTTCAAAAATCTGGCAGACTAGATGCACACGTGCGTCACATTATTCCAGCTCTGCTTCAAATAGTCCTAAGCGATCCTTTTCTTTAACAGTCTACGTCTTGGAAGCAGGACAGATTTGCGATGAAACTCCCCAGAAACGTCTGTGTTGTCTCTTCAAATGGCAAGGAAGTAGCAGCTGCTATTTGAGGAAATCATTATCCTTTGGCTCATCTCTCCCCACCCCACCCCTTCTTTCTTCTTGGTCTCTCGGCTGCCATCCAAGACAAATCTGTGATTATCAAAGGGAAGGGACATCACTGACAGTGGTTAGTTTTATCTTATCTCTGTGGAGTTCCCTCTCATAGATACAGGTCTCCTGTTTCGCATATTTCCTGTTTCGTTTTTTATTTAAAAAATTAAATAAAGGTGTTGTGTTTGCTTGATTGTTGATCCTATACATTCAGTGAGTACTGGATTATGATGTGATTTTTACTTTTGTACAGTAGGATATTATTTATTTATTTATTCATTTATACCCCACCCATCAGATAGTTGTTTATTTCCTTGATATCTGATGGGAGGGCGTTCCACAGGGCAGGCGCCACTACCAAGAAGGCCCTCTGCCTGGTTCCCTGTAGCTTTACTTCTCACAGTGAGGGAACCGCCAGAAGGCCCTCAGCGCTGGACCTCAGTGTCCGGGCTGAACAATGGGGGTGGAGACTCCACTTCAGGTATACTGGGCCGAGGCTGTTTAGGGCTTTAAAGGAAAGCACCAACACTTTGAATTGTGCTCAGAAACGTACTGGGAGCCAATGCACCTGGTCCTTCAGGGGCACAGTTATCCCATTCAGGACTAGGGTGTCCTCCGTACCTGCCTACCCCCTGTCCCCCCAAAACAGTACTTCTGTCTTGTCAGGATTCAACCTCAATCTGTTAGTCACCATCCATCCTCCAACCGGAGGATAGGTTTTTTTACACAGATACACCCCTCTCTCTCCTCCATCCAGGCAGGCATTCTCAGAGTTCAAGGACATGCTCCAGCCAGGTCAAAAATACTCAAGCAGGATTCAAATCAGGGCTAATGGGAGTTTGCAACCTGGATAAGGTTCTGAGGGCCAGACAAAGACACCTAAAGGGCCACATTTGGCCCTGCGGCCTGAGGTTCCCCATCCTGGATATAGTGGTAACTGGTGAAGAGTATTGAGGCCTTCAGGGATCCAGCAAGCATTTATTACAAATCCATGTGCCAAAACCAACACAATAACATATTCACAAAAATTATGAACCTACGAAGATATATTAAGCTACTGTATACAAAGGCAGAGCCCTGGTCCATTTCTTCTACCCTAGCTTGACAGTAGCATCCAGTACTGCTACCGTCACAAGCAGAGATGGAAGAAGAATGAGGACCCCAACACGCTCCTAAGACAAAGGCATACACTTTTTAATGGACAGCCCAATAACTCAAGCACTGATGATGAGAGACAGGGTGGTGACATTTCTCGAACGTTTCCCATAGGGAAGGTTTCTTGACTCTCTTGTGAGATTCATATTAAACCAGGTGTTTGAAATGTTTGATTTCTGGTATATGGTTAAACAGAAGTTTCACCAGAAGATGGTGTATTTAATAGAAGGCTTCCACAGGGAGTATGTTGGGGAAATGTCACCTGGTAGTAACTTTCTCCCCTTCAAAAATGGTTCTGCAAATTTATCTAACATAAACACAGAAGATCACAGAAGTGTAGGGCGGAATGACAACATGCATATCTACTTGAGGGAAAGTCCGGCCATTCTCAGTGCAGCTCACAAATAAATGTACATGGTTTTCATGATTGGTGTCCTAATTTCCTCCAACATTTGTAACAAATATTTCTAATTAGAGCTGTCCACATATGGCTTCCCCAAAATGTCTAATATATTTCAAGCCAAGAAATTGCAATGACAATTTCACCAAATTTCTCCAACAGTTTTTTTGGGGATATGACTCACCATTAGCTGTTACAATAACACAGCTCCTTCCTTCCATCTTGTTCTGCTGTTGCAAGGTGAAACGGAGAATATTTGATGAAAATTTTGCAAAGTGGCTTTTTTGGGGAAGCAGGGGAGGCAGGGTGAGAATTTTTTTCTCTCTCGAAACAAAATATTTTGGCTCTCTATGACTAATTTCGCTTGTTAAGGAGGCAGAATCAAAGAATCCCTACTTAGGATTTGCCTCAAGTTGCTTCAAAACTTTCACATGATTAAAAGGAGAAAGTTATTGAATCTTTCCTGTTGCCAGGGAAACTGCCTCCTTGATATTTACCTTGTGAAAGCATCTTCCTCTCTTTGTATTTGAGCAATAGATGTCATAGGATCAGGCCATGATGGTGGAAAGGTTGTATTTATCACCAGAATTGTTTGGGCTTATGGGATTAAAGGGCTCCGGCTGAGAGAAGGCTTGTTGGTGTGAAGGTGTTTTAGCTTTTATTGATGTCAGTGGCAAGCTGCTGATCTTAGCATTCATGCCATTGTTTAATTCTAATTATTCCTTTAAACTTTCTCTGAAGTTTTTATGGCCTCTTTTCAGTTGCAACGACACCTTACATTTGAACATTACTGTTTGATATCAGCCAACCTGAAAGAAGTTATGGCCATTGCATGGATATTTTATCACGCCTGTCAACCTGACTTGGAAATACATTAGGATTTCAGTTCTGGGTAAACTGTAAAGTCCACCTTGAAATCACCTCTGATCCCCTTCACCTGAAAGCCTATCATTTATTTCTGACCCAACACATCAACCTCTCTAGTCATAGTAAGATACATTTGATTTAGTGACTCACACAAGAGCAAATTTAATACTGCTATCTGACATGACACTAGTCATTCACCTATTTCATCTTCAAGTTGGTCACCCCTCCTGCTGTAATTCTGGTCTGACTAAGATTGGTACTATCTAGTGATGGATTCCAAAATACGATGCTTTTTAAATAAACAACAACAAACTGTTCTACTATGTTCAGATCTGAATGGGAAGGGAGGGGAGAGAACATACTCTCTATGACATTTTCCAGCTAAACTTCCTCATAGACTTCTGGAGGAATAATTTAATTCCCACTTTGTGTAAACATTAAGACACAGAAAATCTTTTGGAACTGTCCTTGGAAAAAACGAATTGACTTTTATTGAAGAACATAATAACAAAGGGAGAACCTTCTGGACCAGGCCAGTGGTCCATCTAAACCAGCATCCTGTTCTCACAGTGGCCACACAGATGCCTGTGGGAAACCTGCAAACAGGATTTGAGGACAAGAGCACCCTCCCCCTCCTGTGGTCTTCAGCAAGTATTGTTCCTTCCAACTATGGAGGTAGAGCATAGTCATCATGACTAGTGGCCATCACTGAGAGCCAGTATGGTGTAGTGGTTAGGAGCGGTAGTCTCGTAATTTGGGGAACCGGGTTCGCATCTCCACTCCTCCACATGCAGCTGCTGGGTGACCTTGGGCCAGTCACTTCTTTGAAGTCTCTCAGCCCCACTCACCTCACAAAGTGTTTGTTGTGGGGGAGGAAGGGAAAGGAGAATGTTAGCCACTTTGAGACTCCTGAAGGGGAGTGAAAGGCGGGATATCAAATCCAAACTCTTCTTCTTCTTCTTCTTCCTCTTCTTCTTCTTCTTCTTCTTCTTCTTCTTCTGCCCTCTCCTCCATGAGTTTGGTAGTGTAGATGATATCTATTCTACTTTTCCTTCACATGTGGCTCATTGCAAAGGGCAGTTCTACCCTATAACTCCTATTTCTTTAATAGGTACAAATCAGAGTGTTTTTGAACATTCTTACTGCAAAATCCTATACATGTCTATTCAGAAATAAGTCTCGCTCTGATCAGTGGGATCCCAGGTAAGTGTGTCTATCCACAAGATTGCAACCTTAGACACTTTTTGTTTTCTTTGAAAAGAGACTTCTGCTGCTGCCACTAGAAAGAGCTTTGAGTTAAGGGCAAGCTGAAAATCAATATTTTTCTTCTCTCTTCTGGGATGGCATTTCTCTGTCTTAAATCTTTAAATCTCTCAGGTGGAAGGTTACCAAACTTTTATTGGTTATGAAGGTGTAAATTATTTGTGAGGTCTGCATGACTCTTGCTTCCTTCCCCCTGTTGTCCTTATTCTCTCTTTTTCTTGATGGGTGCATTTTATGTGTGTGTATCCAACATGCTTGTTTACTCAAAAGTAAGTTTCACCATAAGTGGAGCTACTCCTGGGTAATAGTGAATAGGACCACAACCCAAGTCAAGCATGCACACCCCAGTTCTGGGATAAACTTATTAGAGCTTTCAGAGTATGACGTTCTTTTCATTAGCAGTGAGGAACCTGAATAGATGG